ACGGACAGCCCCGGCATCGCCGCGCGGGCTTACAGGCTTGCGGGGAAGCCAGGCCACAAACCTGGAGCTATCATCACCCCGACCGACCAAGCCATCAAAAATGCCGCATGGAAGCTTTTTAGAGGCCGTAAAAGTAGAAAAACAGCTTGTTGAAGACATTTCAACTTTATGACACGGGCGGGAAGGGCTGCAGGAAATCCCAAGATGAGCATCACGTAAACTCCACTGGCTTTTCAGACACAATAGAAGGAGCGCGAGTAGACATGGGGGCAGATTATTTTGCATGTGTTACTGCATTATCTTGACCTTCTCAGTCCGCTATTAAATGAATCAAAGTTTGTGTGTTTTGAGGAGCTTCATGTGCAAAGCGTATTGGAAATAAGAGGAAAGAAAATAAATACAAGTAATGTCTGGAAGTCGAGACGAGCATGGCAGATTATTTAATTCTGGGTGGTCCGCTTTGTGTCACATTCATTCGGATTGCAAAAATCGTTCCTGCGATTCCGAAGAAACTCACAGTTTGAACATCACCTGTTTCGGGATGCTGGTCGATTGTTCACCATTTTCTCAGAACAATAATGGAAATAATTGAGTTCAATAAATAAAGTTATGTGTCTATTCAACAGTCAACCAGACAGCGAGCCAACCAGCGGCACGAGCATGGCTCCTCCCACCGGTCTGCCGACCAGTTCGGGCGAAACGGAGCTAGACGAGCCTCATAGCGTGCCTGGCATCGGCGAGGAGGAGGAGGAAGAGGAGCTGACTCACATCCTGCAGCCGGACAGCCTGAGCCAGCTGGAGGAGTTCGGACGGCACAAGCGTGGTCGAAAAGTTCACCGAGGCCATGGGAGGCCCCGCCTCTTCAGTGACCTCTGGGTTCGCTTTGGGGACGGGTGAGGATTGCACTTGCACAGTCAGTGATAGCCAATAAGTGTGCCTTGGGAATTTATCCAGTTCCACCTGAGTGGTTTGAATTTTAAATTTGTTTTAGTTTGAAAAAGTGTGCAGTAAACCCGTCTATTGTGGCCTAAAGGTTCGCGGTTCTGCTCTTTTGCTGATTATCCGAGCCGCTTATCCTCATGAAGGTCAATCAACTCTTTTGTTGGTCTAACGCTCATTTTTATCGGGTGCAATTTCACTTTGAACCACTAGATGGTGAAACGTATTTAGCTTGAGAAGTCCTGTTTTTCAGCACAACCTAATTTTTGTTGAAAATCAAATCCTGCATTTTACGCCTACAGAATGCAATGCATGCTGCTTGCATCGTACATTGACACAAAGAACAAATAACTGCTCTGCCCCAAGATCGCAGAAGGTACAGTTAAACTTGCTCTGTAGCCAAGGCTTTGGCCCCATCTTGTGGCGTCTGTGGGTATTACAGAAAGCTCATAAAATAACTTAAAAAAAAACAAAACACAACCGTATCCACTGTACAATAAACCCAAAATCGACTAAGCCTTGCGTTTCCTGTCTTGCAGCACCGCCCTGCCCCCTAACGTGAGGATCATCAACGGTTATGTGACAGTAGAGCCCCCGCTGACCCGCCCGGAGGACCACGTCACGGCTCCGCCCTCCTCCACGCCGTCCGGCCCCACCTCAGCGCAGGCGCCATCGTGGATCCACAACACACCGTCACTGACGTGCGCGTTCGCCTGGCTGTTGTCGTACGTGCTGCTCATCTCCTGACCGCCGGGAGTGGAGATGAGCAGGGGTGCAATCTGCCATTGTAAAAAAAAAAAAAAAAAAAGACTACCGCAACGCGCTCGACAGATAGGCAGGAATGGTCTGGCTAATGCTGCCAAGCCCCTCAAAAAGCTGCCAGGCATGTGGGTCGCACATGTTGGGGTCACACAGTGAGTGGACTGCAAGGATCTAAAGGCCTTCACACCACAGGGAAGAAAACTCACCGGAGAACTCGCCTATTTACAGTTGGTGCGGTCGCATGTGGTGGCCATTACATCAGTGGACCTCAAACTGGGATCCGGGAGCCACAGTTTGGGGGTCCGCAAAATGATTTGATATCAATTGTGTTTTATCATTTAAACAAAGTGCCTAAGGGGGATCGGTGCCAATAAAACATAAACCGGGTACTCCTGCCTACTTCAGTTTCGGGACAGATAAACAGATAAACTGGTATGATTGTGCCGTATTAGCACATGAAACGAAAGAGATACGAGTGACCTAACTTGAGTTACAGATTGTCAAAAAAAAATAAAAAAGGAGCTTCAAGGTGGTGACTGCCACACCTTGTTGAAGTTTATAGTCAAAGTTAACATCAAACAAAGAGAAGTGCACCTTGCATATCACAACAACCACACAAATGTGTCTTTAAGCGTGCTAGCTTGATGCACACAATGTAATGAAAAGCATCAGTCACTCAATGTTGCTACGGCCTGAACGACAAGGATTTTTTTTTGCCAATTTAAAAATCGTTCATTTTGGCCAAAAAAGACAAGCCAGCCAATTAATAGGTTATGTCTGACTTATTACCTCTTGAATAACAAATATTTAAACACAAAATGGGTAGCAACAAGTAGACAAATAAGGTAACAATGCTCATGCATGTTTTGTTTATCATCTGCAAAGAATGACGACCATAGTATAAGCGCAGTTTATTGAGAAGCTGAGATTGCTGCATGAACACTATGTTGGTATATCGGCATTATTCTGCCCCCAAATGGTCATGGCGCATCTAGAAGGAGCAGCACAATGTCCACTGAACTGAAACAAGAAATGTGGCAAAAAGTGTTTTGTTTATTTGCATTCTATTTAATTATGTCATTACTGTGCTCCTTTTTAAGGGAAGCTGGATGCATTGGTCAAATTAAACTCATATCTCAAGGCGCTACTGCATTTGTTTTTTTTAATTTAAGGATATGACTTTCACATTGGTCAAATTAAACTCATATCTCAAGGCGCTACCGCATTTTCTTTTTAATTTAAGGATATGACTTTCGTCCCTTTTAAATCTTTGATTTTACTGTGACATTATGACTATCTTGGAACAATATGTGTTGCTTGTAAGATTAAACGCTTTTTATCCCCAAAAATATGAATTTATATTACATTGTATTTTTCTCAAAAATAATAGCCACCTTTAATTTCTGTGCTCTTTAAGAGTACATGTGGTAGTTACGTTTAACGGATGTTAGAATTATGAGGTGGTAAAAAAAAATCATAATTAGTAAAGTAATAAATTATTATTTTTTTAAAAGTGGTATTTTACTATAAGTGGAATTTTTCAAAGGGGGACTATTTTTGAGGGGGATAAAAAAAAATTTAAAAAAAGAATCGCTTTTTTTTCCCCCCCAAGATGAAAATAATGGCATATTTGTGGAAACTGGTGTCATCTTACAAAAAGGAATTCGTAAATATTTGAGAGGAGCGTGCTGCATCTTAAAATAAATACATACATAAAATCCAATCTTTCAGGGGCAACGAAATACATCACGAAACAAAGTTCTAATGAGAATATTTTTATATAGGAAAAAAAAGGTTTTGTCAATTAAAACTAAAAATAATAATGATAATTTGAAGAAGTATTATTTTTTTTAGATTGATTTATGTGTGGTAGTGGTTAAGTTTTGTATGAGCCTCAGTGTAAACAAACGACAAAAAATGCCTATCATAGCTTGGTCTCGTCCTGACTCTGTCCTGGCTCGGCCTATTTTCATTCAGGTCATTTCCTGGGGAACCACAGCGTGCTGGACATCCTCCGACAAGACGGCTACGTGATCGATCACGTCCAGAGGTGACGCGGTGAGTGTGAGGGCGAATGGGGGGGGGGGGGGTAATGACCCATTTGGTTCTGCAAAAACACTTAGCGATGGTACAGTAATTGAAACTTGTGGAAAACAAAAAAACTGAATGTGCCTGGTGTCTTTCAACGTTAACAGTAAAATGTATTGAAGTGCAGTGCAAACAATGTCCAAATGGAGATTTCAAAACTAAACAACGCTCGGGAATCCTTTGATACTTCAGTGAGTCATTCCCTCCAATCCATCCCATCTCCTCGGTGGCGTGCTGCCGGCCTCGCACTGCTGTAACGTGCGCTGAAGGCGATGCTGACCAGCCACTGGTACCGGGATACAAACGATCCCGTGCACACGCGTGTATGAAAGTGAACACGGCGGAGGGGCGCCAAAAAGCAGCGCAGTGTCCCAGTGCTTGTTCAGTCTGTGTTTGCACGATGATATATATACAAACAGTAATTTCCATTCCTGTTAAAATCAAAAGGGGCCAAATTTAACTCAAAAATCGTGTCAATGTTCCACATGCATCCATCCATTTGGACGATTCGAAACTCCGTTGCAAATTCCAACCAGAAACAGAACTCCTACCATCTGATGCGTACGGATGTGGGCTGACCGTGGTCACACGCTCACACAACCGGCGAAAAAGGCATAATGCAAGGTGCCGCGACGAGGCAACGGGACACGCCGCAGAGACGGCCGCCGGGGAGC